AAAAACCCAACACATAAAGCAATGTATGGGATCTACAAGACACATCTAACTCACAAGATCTAGAAATCTGAAAGTAAAAAAAAGGGAAGAGAAGCTATACCATGCAGGTGCCAATCAAAATGAATGAAACTGGTGTGACAAGGCTGGATTTTGGGCTGAAGAAAAAGAAGAAAAAAAAAAAAAATACGTGCTCGGGTCGGGTGTGGTGGCTCATGCCTGTAATCCAAGCACTTTGGAGGCCAAGGCGAGCGGATCACCTGAGGTCGGGAGTTCAAGACCAGCCTGACCAACATGGTGAAACCCCATCTTTTAAAAAAAAATTTAAAAAAAATAAAAATAAAAAACGTGCTCAAAGTTATTATAGAAGACTTAACTAATACAGTTAGTAACATTGACCTGATACATAAACATCTAACAACTGCAGGGCATACTCTGTATTAGTCTGTTGTCATGTTGCTAATAAAGACAGCCAAGACTTTCATGGTCTCCTAATTCCACATGGCTGGGGAGGCCTCACAATCGTGGCAGAAGGTAAAGGAGGAACAAAGGCACATCTTACATGGTGGCAGGCAAGAGAGCATGTGCAGGGAAACTGCCCTTTATAAAACCATCAGATCTCATGAGACTTACTCACTATCACGGGAACAGCACAGGAAAAACCTGCCCCTATAATTCAGTTACCTCCCACTGGGTCCCTCCCATGACACGTGGGGATTATGGGAGCTACAATTCAACATGAGGTTTGGGTGGGGACACAGCCAAACCATATCAATATTCTTTTCAAGCCTACATAAGAACATTTTCAAAAGTTGAGTATATCTTGGTTTCATAAAGCAAATCTCAACAAACATCAAAGGATATGTATCATTCAAAGGATATATATCATTCAGAGTGATATATATCACTCTGCAATTAAGCTGGATACCAATAAGAAATAGTAAGAAATTAAGAAATATGCCTTTAAATAAGCCACAAACTAAACAAGAAATAATAGTAGATATTAGAAAGTATATGAAATAGAACTGAACTTTAACATACATTCTATATATAGTTTGTAGGATGTCATTAAAGCCATCCTTATAAAGAGATTTATTGCTCCGAATGCATATTAAAAGCAGACAGGTAAAAATAAGTGAGCCTTAGCTCACTTAGATCCTCACTTAGGATCTCTCTCAAGAAGTCAGAAAAAGAACAGCAAATTAGGCCCAAAGGAAGTAGAAGAGGCTGGGCATGGTGGCTCCTGACTATAATCCCAGCACTTTGGGAGGCTGAGATGGATGGATCACCAAGAGTTCAAGACCAGCCTGGCCAACATGGTGAAACCCTGTCTCTACTAAAAATACAAAAATTAGCTGGGCACGATGGCAGGTGCCTGGAGTCCCAGCTACTCGAGAAGCTGAGGCAGGAGAATCGCTTGAGCCCAAGAAGCAGAGGTTGCAGTGAGCCAAGATCACGCCACTGCACTTCAGCCTGGGCGACAGAGTGAGACCCTGTGTCAAAAATAATAAAAAAATAAATAAAATACTAAAATAAAATATATAATTCAACAGATCTAAAAGTTGGTTCCTTAAAAAGATAAATAAAGTAGATAAACTTGTGGAGAGATTGGTTAGGAACGACTGAGAGGATAGTAAAATAAAAGATAATGGATATAGACAAGTCTGGAGGAGTATTGCTGAGAAATAGCGAGGTAGCTGGAGGTGTGGGCCATAAAGTCAAGAGAGGGGTTTCAGAAAGGAGACCAGGTGCGGTGGCTCACGCCTGTAATCCCAGCACTTTGGGAGGCTGAGATGGGCTGATCACGTGAGGTCAGGAGTTCGAGACCAGCCTGACCAACGTGGAGAAACCCCGTCTCTACGAAAAATACAAAATTAGCTAGGCATGGTGGTACATGCCTGTAATCCCAGCTACTCGGGAGGCTGAGGCAGGAGAATCACTTGAACTCAGGAAGCGGAGGCCGCAGTGAGCCAAGATCATACCACTGCACTCCAGCCTGGGCAG